TTCAGAGCCCCTGGAACTGGAGTTACAGTTATTAGCCACCATGTAGGTGCTGGGAACCAAATCTGGGTCCTCTGGAAGAGCAGCCAGTGCTCTTAACCACTGAGCCATCTCTCCAACCCCGCCCCAAGAAGAAAGTATTTTTTATTTTTTATTTACTTTTTTTTTTTTTTGGTCTTTTTGAGACAGGGTCTCCCTGTAGCCCCAGCTGTCCTGGAACGCACTATGTAGACCAGGCTGGCCTTGAACTCACAGAGATCTGCCTGCCTCTGCCTCCCGAGTGATGGGATTAAAGGCATGCGCCAATGCGCCCGGCTCTGTTTGGTTTTTAGTGTGTATGTCGTATGCCTGTGTGCACATGTATTTGTGTGTGGAGAGAGAGGTCAACCTTGGGTGTCTTCCTCTATCACTCGCTACCTGTTTTATTTATTTTCTTATTTTATTTTATTATTATTTTATTTTCTGAGACAGGGTCTCTCTGAAGCCGTAGCTCCGTTTCAGCTAGACTGGCTGGCCAGATATACTCCTGTCTCTGCACCCACCAACCCTTCCCTCAGCACTAGAGTTACAGGAGCATGCCACCAAGGCCAGCTTTTACATGGGTGGATGCTGAGTATCCAATTCAGGTACTTTACCCACTGAGCCATCTCTCTATTATTGTTATTGTTTTTTTTCAGATCGGCTCTCCTGTTTTCCAGGCTGGCTTTGATCTCACTATTTAGCCAAAGATGACCTTGAACTTTTGATCCTCCTGCCTCTACCTCCCAAGTGCTGGAATTACAGGCATGTGCCACTATACCTAGTAAATGTTAAAGTTCCTGGTAAGGAACTACGATTAGCCCAGAGAAAGGATGGCAGTGACAGTGAGGTCCAGTGCCCCCCATACCCAGTGATGTTCCAGTCTCCATCCTGCTGGAGAGACAGGAAGCAGAGTAGCCCGTCTACTCCACAGGTTCCTGAAATACAGGCCAGGCCCTTTGCTGACTCCCAGGGCTTCGAAGGAGCAATGATACCAAAAGATGGAAAAATTACAAACCTGGTATGGTGTATACCTTTAGTCCCAGCACTTGGGAATCAGAGGCATGTGGATCTCTGTGAGTTCTAGGCCAGCCTGGTCTACACAGCAAGATCTAGGCCAACTAGACTCAAAGTTGAAACCCTGCCTCAAAAAAAAAAAAAAAAAAACAGAGCTGAGAGATGGTTCAACAGTTAAGCACACTGACTGTTCTGCCAGAGGACCCAGGTTCAATTCCCAAAACCTATAATATGGCTAACAACCTTCTGTAACTCCAGGTCCAGGGTATCAAACGCCCTCTTCAGGCCTCTGTGAGCATTACATGCATGTGGTACACTTACAGACATGCAGGCAAAATGCTCATACACATAAATTAAAAATAAGTAAATAAAAAAAAGTTTAAAAAGATAGAGAAATTGGAGCACAAAGGGAGCCTTGAAAATCCTCCCATGACTGAGAGTCAGCCCGAAACCCTGGCAGAGAGGAGAGAGGCCAGGAAGACACTTGTGCCAGACACTTCACTTGGGGGAGATATAGGCACTAACCACCATCATTGGTAGAACATGTCTCGGTAATCATATTACTGGATCATAAAATACCCTCTGGCTTTATTTAGGAAACTAATCAGAAAGAAAGCATTTATAACAGCAACATTGCTTAAAAGGGAAGCCAGAGCCATGAGCCTTGTTCTTGGAAAACCGCCCTTAGCTTCTGTCTCCCAGAGGAGAATCCCAAAGGGGTATGAATTAAGCATCCTTCAGAGCCAACAGGAAGATTTGCCTACAACAGAAGCCAAAGTCTTTGGGGAACTGTGTATACAGTCTCTAAGTGATGGTTGGAAAAAGGAAAGGCTTTTTGGATTTTCTTCCTCAAACGAGCGGTGGTGGTCTGGCAGGAGCAGGATGTTACCCCTTCTGAACTGTACACAAACAAGTCCCACAAAGACCTCAGCCAAAGTCAACTTCCTCCTCTCTGTCTGTCTGTCTGGTTCAAAGGATGGCTGCAGGACAGATGTTGTTCTTACAGACTGTGGCCCATCCTCTGCTGCCCCAGGCTGGGGGGTCCAGGAGCACTTTGATGCTCTAGAGAAAAAGAACTGTGGCTTGGGCCAAGTCAGCCACACCTATTCCTGTATAGCCAGTTAGCTAAGGAAGAGTGAGTGTGTGTGTGTGTGTGTGTGTGTTGCATGCATGTGTATACATGTATACCTATGTGCATGCAGAGGCCAGAGGCAAACATCTGAGTTTCCCCCTCTATCAATGTCCACCTTATTTTTTTGAGACAGTGTCTCTCACTGAGCCTGGTGTTATGTTAGCACCAAGCCTTCCTGTCTCTGGCCCCACACATGGTACAGGGACATGTATAGCCACAACCAGGTTTTTACATGGGTGCTGAGATTGGAACTCAGATCCTCATTCTTGCAGAGAGCACTGTTACCCAATGAACATCTCTCCAGCCCCTTAAGGAGGATTTTTTTTAATTGATTGCTTTTTATTTTACGTGTATAAGTGTTTTGTCTGCATGTATGTAAGTGGGCCACATGTGTACAATGCCTGTGGAGGTCAGAAGAGGGTGTTGGATCCACTAGAACTGGGATTATAGATTGTAACTCCAGTTTTTACCCAACAGATGATCATTAGCCTCCAAGTGGTGCTGGGAACCAAACCTCTGCAAAACCGCTGAGCCGTCTCTCCATCCCCCCTGCCCCCGAAGGATTTTTAATTGAAGAAAAATTGAAAGAATAATATTAGGGGGTCTGAGGATGTAACTCATTTCGTAGAGTGTTTGCCTCATATGTGCAAAACCCTGGGTTCGATCCTCAGCACCACATAAACTGGACATGGTATGTGCCCCCATAATTCCACACTCAGGAGGTAGAGGCAGAAGGTTCATGGTTATCCTTGGTTACATAAGGAGTTAGAGACCAGCCTGGGCTAGGGACCTGTCTCACAAAACACAATATTTTCTTACCGTATGAAAATTAGAGGAAATTCAAGTTTCCAGCATCTATATCTGTAAGCATCATGGAGCCAGGGGTCTTGACCTGGTTATTCTGGGACATGTTGACACCCCCCACTCTCTGTGGCTACTTGCATGATACATTAGCATAGTTGTGACAGGCAGCATGGTGCCCAATTCGGACAGTACTTAATAACTGGCCCTCTCTGTATAAGTGTGCAGACATCTATAGTAGGAGGCCTCTGCAGAACCTTACTATGATCTAGAACATCCCATGAATCTGATGTATCAGGGCTCTAGGCCGTCCACAGAAAACAGTGGATTTTGTGTCTTGATCCGTATCAGAAACATGGAACCTGGGGATGAAGTAACCCCAGTATGTGTCATTTGGCTGGCTCAGCATTTCAGTTCTGTGAGTATTTACTGAGCACCTGCTACATTCCAGTCACAGGAGACATGAGGGTCGACTGCTATTCTTGCCTCTGGGTGACTGGACCTTCCTAGGGAGACAGGCAGAAGAGCAAGAGGTTGACTGTTACGGGGTTTGTGTGGCAGGAAATGGAGGCTTACCCTGTGAGGGGTCATGAAGGATGAGCTTGGGTTCTGAGTGGTCTTGTTTTTAGGAGGAAATTGATAGAATAAATCTAAAAGTAGTTGCACACCTTATATATGAAAACATTTCTGATACCAATTACCCAAGAGGAAGTAGACACCATGAGCAGAGTGGTTACCTTATTAGAAAAAGAGTAAGTGATACCCTTGGTTTTATGGCAGCTCTATAGATTGATTCATTGACTATGGAGAACCGTTTCTAGGTCCAGCAGCAGCTTTTTGGCAAGCTGCTGCTGGACCTAGTATGCTACCATTTGTGTCAGAGGGACTGTGACTAGTCCCAAAGATCTGTAAGTCCCTGATTGATTGGCCCAAGAGTGGTACTGGGTGACTGGGGACTGGGGACTGGGTGACAGGGGACTGGGGACTAAGGCAAGGAGGAAGGTTTTTTTATAAACACCCAGTTTCTAAAATTGTGCTATAATTTTCCACTTTGTTTTCAAGCATCTATTTGAGATCATTTTCACTTTCTATTATTTTTTTTAACTTTGTGAATCTGAATCATGTGAATAGAGTGCCCATTCAAATATTTATACAAATCGATGCAAAATAAGTAGCACATGGCTGTGCTGTGGCTTGCCTGTGTTGTCTGGAAAAGTGGTTTTCCTCCCTTATTAAGTAAATCATTCTTCTTTTTTTTTTTTTTTTTAATGTGTCTATGAGTGTTTTGCCTGCGTGGTTTAAGTGCACTACATGCATGCAGTGCCCACGGGGGCCAAAAGAGGGCATCAGATCTCCTGTAACTAGAGTTAACAATGGTTGTTAGCCACCATGTGGGAGCTGGGAACCAAACCCACGTCTTCTGCAAGACCAGCCAGTGCTCTTAACTGCTGAGCTGTCTCTGCAGCCTGTGTAAATGATTCTTGATGGCCTTGATGAACCAGGCACTTTTCAAAGCCCAGAGGGTACATCTCTAGGTCTGGTTTCTTTATCTGCACTGTGGGGAGTTCAGGTGACCCCCTAAGGCAGTGGTCTTCAATTTTAACATACAGGAGACCCACCAGGAAGCTTCATTAGGACGCAGGCTGGCATGGTGGTTGTGTAGCTATAAACCCTAGCACTTGGGAGGTAGAAGCAAGAAGATCAAGAGTTCAAGGTCATCCCTGGCAACACAGTAGGTTTGAGACTAGCCTGAGCTACATGAGACCCTATCTCAAAACAACAAAAGATGCAGACTTCTGGGTTCTACCCTAAGTTTCTGAGTAGTTAGTCTAGATGGGACCCAAGAATTGGCATGTGTGGCAAGATCACAGGTGGTGCTGATGCTGCTAGAACAGGAAGCACTTTGGGAACTCACCTAGAGGTCCACCTAGGTCCCTTGCTTATAAATAACTACAATCCTTTCTGAAAAGATGAAGGAATAGAGAATAGCTTCATCTCACTCTGAATACACAGCCATCTCTCTCTCTCTCCCCAGCAAACACAGAACCTCACAAACACAGCAGGAGTGTCGTGATCAAGTTTCCAGCCCATCCATGGGATGACTGTGGTGGTGACACACAAAAATCAGATAGTGATCAGAGTCTTGTGTGTGGCAACCTTCCCAGGGAAGTGACTCTGCAGGACTGTTGAGGAAGGTTAAGTAAGGAAGACTTAAGCCATTAAGGGCATTCTGAAATCAACAAGCCTAACCCCACAGGGTAACAATGTTGGGTACCATTTTAAGATCCGTCATATCATATCCCTGCTTACAAATTCAGCTTGATTATGGGTGAGTTTCTTTTTTTTCTAACTGCATTTTATTTATTTGCCTGTGTGTGGTACACATGTATTCATATGTATGTCACGGTACACATGTGGAAGTCAGAGGACAACTTGTAAGAGTTGGTTCTCTCCTTTCACCACATGGGTCCCAAGGATCGAACTCAGGTTGTCAACCTTGCAGTGAGTGCTTGTACCCACTGAGCCATCTCACTGTCCCTATTGGTGAGTTTGGGACAAAGACATAATGCGTCAATATGTATACCTCTACCTGATTCCATGGCTTCATGGATGCTGTTCACATCTCTGGAATATTCTTCCCAATCCTCTTTACCTCATTAAGTCTTACTTGTCCATTATGAAGTCTGACTATTCTAACAACTGCTCAAACTATCCAATCTCTCTTTCCCTGAATATCTTAACTCACTGGAAAGATCATTTTTATCTAATTTTTCTTCTTGTTACTGGTACAATTTAGTTAATTTATTTATTTTTATTTTATGTGTATGAGTGTTATGCCTGCATGTATATAAGTGCACCATGTCGTGCAATGCCACAGTGGTCAGACAAGGACTTCAGATTCCCCTGTAACTGGAGTTAAGGATGGTTCGTAGCCACCATGTGGGTGCTGGGATTTGAAGCTGGGTCCTCTGCAAGAACACCCAGTGCTCTTAACCACTGAGCCATCTCTCCAGCCCCCATTGGTACAATTTATTCAACAATTATTGGTCTCCCTTTACCAAATCCCTATTCAAGGGCCTCCAGTGGGCTGGGTGTCAGGGCACTTTATGGGGAATAGAATCTCGGGTAAAAACAGACCTGCCTTCTGCTCCAAAAGAGAAAGATCCGTTAATCAAATAATGTCACTGATAGAAATCCAATTGCAGACTGAGAACAGTGGTATAAAAGTAGTGGGGTGGTATGTGTGGATGTATAAGAGAAGGCCTGGTGAGGCTGGAGATGGCTCAGCAGGTAAGAGCACTGGCTGCTCTTGCAGAGGACCCAGGTTCCATTCCCAGCACCTGCATTTTTGGCTGAAAACCACCTGTAACTCCAGTTCTGGGGGACCTGGCACCATCTTGTGACCTGGGCAGGCACTGCATGCATATGGTCCTCCACATATATACATGCAGGCAAACGTGTGTGTGTGTGTGTGTGTGTGTGTGTGTGTGTGTGTGTTTGATGCCGAATTCAGGGGTGGGGCAAGGTGAACTTGTTGAAAAAGTATAATTTGAAGACTTCAGAGATGTTCAATATTGGCTCAGTGAAGAAGATGCAGGACAGGGAAATGTTTTCTAAACTTTTTAAAAAATTTTACTATTTTTTATTTTACGTATATGCGTGTATTACCTGCATGTAGGTAAGTACATCCGTGTCATGCAATGCCCTCGGAGGTCAGAAAAGGCTGTTGGATCCTCTGGGACTGGAGTTATAGACAGTTGTTAGCTGTCATGTGGGTGCTGGCATTTGAACCTGGGTCTTCTGCAAGAACAACCAGTGGTCTTAACCACTGAGCCATCTCTCCAGCCCCAGGAAATGTTTTCTAAATGGAGAGAACAGTGTATGCAAAGACCCTATCCTGGGATAAGCGTCGCAGTTCAAGGAACTGAGAGGTGGACAGGTTTGGTGGGGTACGGAAGATGGGAAAGGAGGAAGAAAGAGTAAAAAGAAGAGAACACAGTGGGAAACTGGGGACAGACTGTGCGGAGCCCGGTTGGCCCTGTCAGTGGTTGTTGTTAATGGCCTTGGAAATGGGATTTTTTTGTTGTTTTGTTTGGCTGGTTTCATTGTTGTTTTGAGACAAGGTCTCACTATGTAGCCCCATCTGGCCTGGAACTGGTCTTGTAGACCATCCCAGACTGGCCTCCAGCTCACAGCAGTTCACCTGCCTCTGCCTCCTGAGTGCTGAGATTAAAGATGTGCACCACCATGCCTGATGATCTTGATTTTTTAACTAACAGCTTGAGGATACCCATATAAATTGTGGGATGATGGGATGGCTCCATTACATTTTTTTGTTATATGTATGAGTGTGTATTGCCTGCATGCATGTGAGTGCACCCATGTCATGCAGTGCCCTTGGAGGACAGAAGAGGGCATCGGATTCCCTGGAACTGGAATTACACGAATGGTTGTTAGCCTCCATGTGGGTGCCAGGATTCAAACCCAGGTTTTCTGCAAGAACAGTCAGTGCTTTTAACTGATGAGCCAAATCTCCAATCCTGGCTCCATTACCTTTTAAAGTTCTTTCTGCTGCTGTCTGGAGAAGACACCAGAGTGGAATCGAGGGGCCGGGCTCAGGAGGTGGGGGGGGGGTCAGGTTGGGAGGTTGCTGGAACAGTCCTAAAGACAGATAGTGTCATGCTCTAAGATAATTATTGTGAAACCAGAGAAATATGGATGGAATTGAGAAAGTGTTAGAAGGGGCCTGGGGATTTAGCTCAGTTGGTAGAGTGCTTGCCTAGCATGCATGAAGCCCTGGTTCGATTCCCCACCACCGCATAAACCAAGTACGGTTGCAGCAGGATCAGGAGTTTGAGGTCATTGTTGGCTACATAATGAGTTCAGGGCCAGCCTGGGGTACATGAGACCCTGACCCCTTTTTTTTTTTTTTTTTTTTTTTTTTTTTTGGTCTTTTGAGACAGGGTCTTCCTGTAGCCCCAGCTGGCCTGGAACTCTCTATGTAGACCAGGCTAGCTTCGAACTCACGAAAAACCCCCCTTCTCTGCCTCCCGAGTGCTAGGATTAAAGGCATGCGCCGCCACGCCCAGCTGAGACCCTGACTTTAAAAAAAACAGAAAAAAAAGTGTTATGCCCATCATGATGGTGCACACCTGATGAGATGGTACTGATGAGATGGCTCAGTGGGTAAAAGTACTTGCTGTCAAGGCTGATAACCTAAGCTCAGTTCCTGGGACCCACACGGTAGGAGAAAACTGACTCCCACAGGTTGCTCTCTGACCTCCTCATGCACAGTATGGCACATACATACACACACACAAATAAATAATTTTTTTTTCTTAAAGAAAAGAAGCTGGACATGGTAGTGCACACCTTTAATCCCAGCACTGGGGTAGCAGAGGCAGGCAGGTCTCTGTGAGTTGTTCAGCCTGGTCTATGTAGTGAATCCCAGGCCTTTCAGGGCTACATAGTGAGACCTTATCTTAGGAAAGAGAGGGAAGGAGGGATGGAGGGAGGGAGAGATGGAGGGAGGGATGGAGGGAGGGACAGAGGGATGGAAGGAGGGAGGGAGGAGGAGGAAAGAACTTTATATGGACTTGAGGTTTGGGGTGGGAGTGGGGATCCCTTGATAAAATGCAGATTCTGGCTTGTTCTAGTTTTGTTTTGTTCGCTGTGATAAAACACTCTGACAAGGCAACCTTGAGAGAAAGGGGTTTATTTTAGTTCACGATTTCAAGTTACAATCCATTGGCAAGAGCTTGAGGCAGCTGGTCACATCACATCCACAGTCAAGAGCATTTGCGTGTGCTCAGCTCATTTTCTCCACTCTGGAACAGTTCAGGACCCCTGCCTAGGGAATGGTGCCACCCACAGTAGGCTGAGTCTTCCCACAATTATCTTAATTAAGACAGTCCTACACAGACCAACCCAATCCTTCATTGAGGCTCTCTTTCCAGGTGATCCTAGGTTGTGTCACCTTGACAAAGCTGACCATCACAGTAGGTCTGGGCTAGAAGCTCCAGTCAGTTGTACTCCTCTAACCAGCTCCTGGGTAATGTGAATCACCTTTTGAGCAGCAAGGGAAATGATCTCCCTGCTTCTGGGACACAACACCCTCACACCCAGCAACCTCATGCCTCTGAGAAAGAAACCTTCAGTGATCATCTATCCTTTCAAGTTCAGGGTCAGCTCTAGAATTTTCTACTTAAAAATCCTCCCTGAAAGAATTTTGTGGGCCTGGAAAGATGGCTCAGTGGTTAAGAGCACTGGCTGCTCTTGCAGAGGACCCAGGTTCAATTCCCAGTGCCCACATGGCAGCTAACAACCATACATAACTCCAGTTCCATGAGATCCAACGCCCTCTTCTGACATCTGTGAGCACTGCACAACACAGGTGCACTTACATGCATGCCGGCAATACACTCATACACATAAAATAATAATCTTTTTTTTAATTTTTAATGATACATGAACATTAATAATCTTTTTTCCTCCTTGAAATTTTATTTCTATTAATCACTTTCCCTAGGGAATTTTATTCTAGTGTAATACATATATGTATTGGTCTTTCTGAGACAGGATCTCCCTGTAGCCCTAGCTGGCCTGGAACTCACTATATAGACCAGGCTGGCCTGGAACTTACAGAGATCCAGAGTGCTGGGATTAAAGGCATGCGCCACCACACCCGACTGTGTGAGATTTTTAAAAAACTTTTATTTCTGTCTCCATTCTAGACCAGATCTTTCTCTTAAGTTCCCACGCTCCTGTCACAAAAAGAGGGAAACTGATTGGCCCAGCAAGTCTTTTCTGTGCCAGGTCATGTTGTAAGCTTGAGGTCACCCCTGTGCACTGTGGTTTCCCTGAGCAGGGACAAGGAGCCTACTGATGTTTTTGTTGATCTGCCAACCAAACTAAAATATGTGGTCTGACACCTTGACACCTTCTCCAATCCTGTTCTTTTCAAATCAGCTCTCTGACCTGTGAATTCCTAGCTTCATATTTTTACCTTTTTAGTCACATACAGATCTTTCCTTTGTATTGTAGTTCTATTTAAATCTTTTCTTTCTTATTATTCTCTGTGTGTGTGTGTGTGTGTGTGTGTGTGTGTGTGTGTTCAAAGAACACATGTACCATGGTGTGCATGTAGAGGTCAGAAGACAGTTTTCACCAACTGATTCTCTCCTTCCGCCAAGGGCTCCAGTCGAACTCGGGTCATCGGGCTTGCTCAGCGAGCACTTTTTCTCACTGAGTCATCTCACTGGCCCTGTTCTGTAATTATTCATGTGATCATCACCTTTTCCAACTATCAGCTCCTCAAGAAGGACCCATGCCTTAGGCGTTTCTTAACCTTGTGTCTGACACGGACTAGGTGTCTGATAAAATATTTGTTGAACTGATTACACTGCGTGTCTTAAACTTTTTAACATCCCCCACAGAGTAATGCTGGACTTTCAATCGCAGCCTCCCAGAAGGACAACTGCATTGAATGAACCAACCTACAGAACAGTAAATCAATGAGCTAACGAGCCATTGGACAATGGCTTGAAAGTAAACGAGTTCATACCTCATCCGAGGGTCCAGATGCAGTGCAAACAGGGGTGACGTGGGCTGCCCCTAATCCACTGTCTGATTTTACACTGTGCTGTTTCTTTTTTGAAACAGCAATCATGTAGCCCAGGCTGGCCTCAAACTCGATGTGTAGCTGAGGATGGCCCTGAACTTCTGATCTTCCTGCCTCTTTCTCCCATGGGCTGGGACCACAGGTGTACACCACTACACCCAGTTTTATATGGTGTTGGGCATCAAAGACAGGGCTTGGTGCATACTATGCAAGCACTCCACCAACTGAGCTACAACCCCAGCCCTTGTACTTTTTAAAAAATGTATTACAGGGGTTGGAGAAATGGCTCAGTAGTTAAGAGCACTGGCTGCTCTTGCAGAGGACCTGGGTTCAGATCCCAGCACCCACATGACAGCTAACAACCATCTGTAACTCCAGTTCCAGAGGATCCAATGCCCTCTTCTGACCTTCATGGGCATTGCATGACCCGGTGCACTTAAGTACATGCAGGCAATACACTCATACACATAATAAGATAATAAAATATTTAAAATAAAGAATAAATGCATTACATTTTAAAATTGTGTGTGTGTGTGTGTGTGTTGCTCATATGGAGGTCAGAGTACACTTAGGAGTTTTCTCTCTTCTTTGGCCATGTGGGTCCTTGAGACTGAATTCAGATCATCAGGCTTGGCAGCAATCGCTTGACTGCTGAGCCACCTCACCACCTCCCACCCTTGTACTTCTTTCTTTTCTTTTGTTCTTGTTTTGTTTTGAGATGACGTTTCACTGTGGTCCCAGCTGCCCTCAAACTCACAGCCATCCACCTGCCTCTGCTCTCCTGCGTGCTAGAATTAAAGGTATACACCATCACATCCATCTCTTTGCTTAATTTTTTTATAACTGATCACAGTAGATTTAATGATGGCTTATCATGAAACATCCAGGAAAATAATTTCCTGTCCTCTGCATCTTATCTTCCAGGCGTGAGCAACGTCTCCTCACCGCGGTGGTGTCTGGTCCGTACCTCAGCCTGGGTGAGGATGTAAACCCCTCGGCTCTGCGGATGAGAGGTACAAGCCGACAGGAACCCCTTCCTCCAGCCACCCTCACAGATATGTCAGCCGTGGAGTAGGGTGGACACTCTCATCTTCTCAGGGTCTTGGTCTTTTTTGGATTTTCTCCATTTACTTTTATTTTTATGGTTTTGTGGCTGAACATTCACAAACCAAGGCGGACACCATGGGAGATCAGCAGCTGTACAAGACCAACCATGTGGCCCATGGCGGTGAGAACCTTTTCTACCAACAGCCACCCCTTGGTGTCCACGGTGGGCTGAACCACAATTATGGGAATACAGTCTCAGGAGGTGGAATAGATGCCCCGCAGGCCTCACCTATCTCCCCCCACTTCCCTCAAGATACGCGAGATGGCCTGGGCTTGCCTATTGGATCCAAAAACCTTGGCCAAATGGATACCTCGAGGCAGGGCGGATGGGGAAGCCATGCAGGACCTGGGAACCATGTCCAGCTACGTGGCAACTTGGCCAATTCGAATATGATGTGGGGGGCACCGGCCCAGGTGGAGCCCACGGACGGCTACCAATACACCTATTCCCAGGCCAGTGAGATCCGGACCCAGAAACTCACCAGTGGTGTTTTACACAAGTTGGACTCTTTCACCCAGGTGTTTGCCAACCAAAACCTGCGCATTCAGGTCAACAATATGGCCCAGGTGCTGCACACCCAGTCAGCAGTGATGGATGGAGCCTCTGACAGCGCCCTCCGCCAGCTGCTGTCACAGAAGCCCTTGGAGCCCTCAGCATCCGCTATAGCTTCCCGCTACCAGCAGGTGCCCCAGCAGCCTCATCCTGGTTTCACTGGTGGGCTGCCCAAACCAGCCGTTCAGGTGGGGCAGCACACCACCCAAGGGCACCTGTACTATGATTACCAGCAGCCCCTAGCCCAGATGTCACTGCAAGGAGGACAGTCGCTGCAAGCTCCTCAGGTGCTGTCTAACCACATGCAACCCATGCAGCAGCACCAGTATTATCCTCAGCCACAGCAGCCGCAGCAGCCAGCTGGGCCACAGCGGATCTCCGTGCAAGAAATCCAACAGCAACAGCAGCAGCAGATTCGCCCCCCACAGCCGCAGCAGCAGCAGCAGCTACAGCTACAGCAGCGGCAGAGTTCCATGCAGATACCTCAGTATTATCAGCCCCAACCCATGATGCAGCACTTGCAAGAGCAGCAGCAGCAACCGATGCATCTGCAGCCCCCTTCTTACCACAGGGACCCTCATCAGTACACCCCGGAGCAGGCACATGCTGTCCAGCTAATCCAGCTGGGCTCCATGCCCCAGTATTACTATCAGGAGACACAACAGCCCTATAGCCACCCCCTCTACCAGCAGAGCCACCTGTCCCAGCACCAGCAGCGTGAAGACAGTCAGTTGAAGACCTATTCTAGTGACAGGCAGACTCCAGCTATGCTGAGCTCCCACGGGGACATGGGGCCTCCTGATACAGGAATGGGAGACCCAGCAAGCTCAGACCTGACCCGGGTCAGCAGTACCCTTCCCCATCAACCGCTTCTGTCCCCCAGTGGGATCCACCTCAACAACATGGGTCCTCAGCATCAGCAGCCATCTCCCAGTGCCATGTGGCCCCAGGTATCTCAAAATGGAGGTTTCTCCCTATATCTGAGTATTCGCTAGATCCAGCCAGGCCGAGTCTCTGCAATGCCCAATTCTCTCACCAACTTTCAGCCTTTTGGTTCTTCTCATACATTCTATAAGTGTTAACCTACGTGTGCCAGAAACTACAAATGCCAGGAAGTCGGAATACAAAATCAGTTTTGATTCAATCCTTTGTCCCGGGGATTTTTTGTCTTACTGAGGAGATGGCCAAAATATGGGAACATATCCTAAATGGTTGATGTAACCATCAAGACCTAGAGGCAGGGGCTGGGGAGTGCTTGCCTTCCATGGACCTGAGTTCCACCAGTAGCAGGTGAGGGGAAGCCAGACAGGGAGGCACATGCTTGTAATCTCACCACTGGTGAGGCAGAGACAAGGGGATCCCTGGTCAGACAGCCAAGCCTATTTGTTGAGTTCCAGGCCAGTGAGAGACCTTGTCTCAAAATAAGATGGGCCAGTGAGATGGCTCAGTAAGTAAAGGTACTTGCTGCCAAGCCCGAGAGCCTGAGTTCAATCCCCAGGACCCACACGGTGGAAGGGGAGAAGTGATTCTCAAACATTGTCCTCTGACTACTCACATGCTTTGGTACCCACATGTACATGCATACACACATAATAAATAAACATGATAATAACAAAGTGGACAGTGCCTGAGGAACAACAGCCAAGGCTGATCTCTGGCCTCCACACACACATGCCCACATATACATACATACACATATGCACTTGCACAGGAATACACATACAAAGTCCTAGAGGCAGAGGCCAGGGGACCCCATAGTGGGAATATCTCACCCCCATTGAATCTCTGTACTCAGGGTACCTCTGCACAAACACTGCACACCTGTTCTCTCTCTCTCTCTCTCTCTCTCTCTCTCTCTCTCTCTCTCTCATTTTTTGTTGTTCTTTTTAAATTTTTTTTTTTAAAGAATTCCAGGGACTGGAGAGATGGCTCAGCAGTTAAGAGTACTTGCTGCTCTTGCAGAGAACCCAGGTTCTGTTCCCAGCATCCATATGGTGGCTAACAACCATCCATAACTCCAGTTCCAAGGGATCTGAAACAGCTCCTTCTGGCCTCTGTGGGCACTCCACACATGTGGTGTACTTATACACATGCAAACAAAACATTCATGCACATGAAACTTAAAAATAAATAGATAAATAAAAGTTGAAAGAGAATTCCAGGTCTCCTGGAATGACAGTGTACCATCCATTTCCTTTCTGTGTCTCTTGTAGGATGGATCCTGTCTGTGCAGAATAGATACAGCCTAAGGGGGGGTGAGAAGTTGTATCACTGTAGGCTTGAGGCCGACAGACTCCAAGTTTGGAGCAGTGTACCTATTCAGGGAATAATTAATGAAAAGAAATCAGATACAGAAGAGCACAAGCGTGAATGGGCATGAACAGGGGCATCATGAGCAGAGAAAGTTCTAGAAGGGTAGACCCTATTCAGATCCCTTGAGAGTCCTCCCTTTAGAAACATGTTTGTTTGTTTGTTTTCTCTTTTTTGTTTCTTTTGGTGTCCTGCTTGGCTCAAAATTAGATGCACCTACCTGATGGGAGAACCCAGCCAGGGTCCCCCGAATCAAGGTATGATGGAAGGTTTGGAGTATTTGGGGAGGACTGGGAGATTTGCTTGGATTATTTGCATGGCTTATTTCTAAATTCAGGGTCAATTTTTCAAAGAAAGGTGTAGGACTCACAATAGCAGTTGTGTTTGAGCATTTATCTGCACATTTAGTGCCATATACAATAGATAATAAAATACCCAGCAAGATTGATATTATTACCAAGTGCCTGTCAATAGTCAGTCCTCAGTGACTGTTGGCTGTACTGTCCTTATTTTAGAAATGAGAAAACTGAGGCTCAGAGAGCTGAAGGTACACCTTAAGTAAGTAGCCACAGTGGGTTTGACTCCAAGCCCAGGCTCCATTCATTATTCAACCAGTGAGGACTTAATGAGTGCCTACTGTGTACCTGGCTTAGAACTGGGCTTTGTGGATGCAGCGGTGAACAGTACAGACTTGCTCCCTTCCCTCCTGGCCATAGTAGGTGGGCAATTAAAGCTGTAGGTGCAGAAAATCCCAGTGCCTGAAGGCTCAGAATGAAGAAGGATGTGTCTACTCTAGAATGAGTTTAAGTAAGTCCTTTTCAGGCCCAGCATGGTGGCACACGCCTTTAATCCCAGCCCTTGGGAGACACTCGTCTCAAGAAAGGACAGACAGAAAGGAGGGAGGGGGGAAGGGAGGGAGGGAGGGAGGGAGAAAGCCAGCCTTTTCAGGGTCAGTGAGATTGCTCAGTAAAGATGCTTGCCACCAAACATCACAACCTGAGTACAATCCCTAAGACCTACTTGGTGAAAGACAAGAACCAACTCCCAAAAGTTGTTTTCTGACTTCCGTAAGTGCACCATGGCAGGCACAGGCACACACACAGATACACACAAAACAAATAAATATAATAAGCATTCCTAATTTTTAAAAGAAATACATTTTTAAAATTTTATGTGTATGAGTTTTCACCTGCATGTGTGTAAGTGCACCTGTGTCATGCAGTGCCTGAGGTGGCCAGAAAAGGGCATCGGATCCTCTGGAACTAGAGTTATGGATTACTGTTAGCCACCATGTGGGCGCTGGGAACTGAAACTGGTCTTCTGCAAGAGCAATGAGTGCTCTTAATCACTGAGCCATCTCTCTAGTCCCTCCTTTCTTTAAAAAAAAAAAAATTCAGGGGCCAGAGAGATGGCTCAGTGGTTAAGAACACTGCTTGTTCTTGCGGAAGACCCGGGTTCAAATCCCAGCACCCACATGACAGCTAACAACTGTCTGTAACTCCAGTCCCAGGGGACCCAACAGGCTTTTTTGTC